GCGGGGCTGCCGTAGCTTAGCGCTTGAGGAAGCGTACTTCAGGTCACCGACCTTTCGTATTATACTCAGATCAAGTACGAGTTAGCGGATCGCAATCCGTTTACTCCAAGAGTAATTATTGCCTTACCCAAGGCTAATTAGCATTCCGTTTTTAATTCAAAACAATTTTTTATTTATTTTTATTTGCTTAATTTTAAATGTCTAGATTTATCAACATACGCTATATATATAATAACATCTAAAAACATGCATAACTACTGGCTACCGTATTCTTGTTGACACAACCCCTATTACCGGGTACATGTAACCATGTTACACTTGCAGTGTCAAACATTTTGAGTATGCTTGAATTGCGTTTCCTTACTGAAAGGATAGCGCAATATAAAAAACTACCTTTGTGCTCCGTTTTTTCAGCAGTGGAAGTGACTCCCGCACAAGACATAGCCGAATCTTGTGAGAAAGCTAAGAATGATCTCCACCCTTCTTTTGTTAAATTAAATTCCGTTGCAGCAATATCAATTTCATATGTATTGCCATATGTCGAATATCTCGACAGATGCTCGAACGTGATTAATCAACGAGCGAATGATTATCTTGGTTGAATGCTTGGCCCTGTGCAAGACACCTGTTCTGTCAGTATCCATTATGTGGCTTCACTGGCTAGGGATCAAATAAACACTAAAATCTGAGCTTTTGACTATGCGAAAGAATTCTCTATCCATGCTTAATGGGTATGCGAGACACTAATACAACAACTGCAAGACCAAAACAAGTTGTTTATTAACCAAGACACGACCAAAGACCTGGCCGGCTGCATATCCAATCAAATTTGCTATGTCGAAACGAGACGCCACAAAGCATCTCATCGAAAACTTTCGCTCCTTCTGCCAGCCTGATGACCTCATTAATACACAGTCTGATTCTATAATGTTATCAAGTCTTTCGTTCACTAACCCATAAAACCACCGCGATGATGTCTCTGCATCTTGGCTTCGTGAATCTGGCGGTATTGAAGTACTACTATTCATTCTGTACACTTCTGAAGCCTTTTTCTTTGCAAATTTCGTCCGGTTTTGGAACGATATGTCGGCATCAAAGCAAGCTCGTCACTTCGTGAGTTGGGACAGAGCCCGCAAAGCAGGGGCGCGTCGTATTTATATGTGCTGAGCTCAAATTGAATCGTTTCATCCACCTGCGATGATCTTTGAAGCTGATCTTTTTTTTGTGCGACCAGGTTCTTCTACACAGTCTGTTGTACCTTTGAAAAAATTATCATAGAAACATGCTAATGGTATCCTAAGCTGCTTAATCCTTCACACTTACGTTGTGACTTAGTATTCTATGAGCCAGACAGGGTACAAACCTAATGCTTCCTTTTTATATCTTCAATCAATGAAACAGCAGGTTCTCCGTACCTTATACATTTGGACACCGTCTCAGCATCAAACTTGAATCAATTTCCCGCTCTATCCACAAATTGATTTTGCGCATATATCACAAGCTTTCTCTGTCATGCATTTGCGCTACCTTACGCTCCTTGTGGCCAGTTCTGTGGCTGTTACTACCGTTGCTCAGATCGCGAAGAATGAGTTCATGTCTAATTCTACATTCGATCCCAATGAATCAATGACTCATGACCTTGACACTCCCGCGCCGCTTAATGAAGAGAAGAGTCTCGCTCCCATCAAGAAATTCTTTGGTTATGATGATAGACCTCCTTCTGAGTTTTACTTATTGCTTCAAGTCGCTCAGAAGGATACAAATGTAAAGAAGCGCTTGGGAGTGCTTAAGAAACAAAAAAGCTTAAAGGATGCTTATGCGTTGATCGATGTGGACGATAGCGAATTCCTTACAAATGACAATTGGAAGAAGTGGGCTCTTCTTGCTGCCAAGAAGAACAAGAAGATGGAGCCGGCTGGAGCTGTCGTAAAAGCGATGAATGAAGAGATGAACAACGAGCGCTTTGTTAGGATCTTGGTGAAAGGACTCGATAATCCAGATTCGAAACGAATCGCCCAGTTTTTAATAAACGCACAAATTCAGCAATGGCTTGAACTAAAGTGGATGCCG